GAAGCAAAAAATACATTAGAAGAAAAATAGTAGTAATAATATTCATCGATTTTGGTGAGGTGAAATTGCAGCCGTCGGATAACACGCGGCTGATCTCAAGCGTCTCTGAAACAACAAAGAAAAAACAGAATTTTCAAACCAGTTTCCATCGACGACACGACCAATCTCACGACCTTCACGATTCCTCTCGTAATCACACTTCTTTCTCTCGTAATCCAACGGAGCTCTTCTTTCTAACTTCCAGGTATCTCCAATTTCGAATCTTTCGAGAACCCAATGTCAAATTTATCTGATTTTGTAATTTCAAGTTGTCGGATTTCTGTAGAAGATCCGTTTTTCAATCATCTGATTAGGACATGATATGCTCCGTTGCTCGAAATTTATGTGCACTTTTGTTAAATTTAATTTCAAATTCGATCGAGGATTGCAAAAGTACTGGATCTGGTGTACTATATATTTTTTCACATGCGTTGATTGATACAAATATGTTATGACTCTGAATCGTATCAATACGTAGTGTTAGGGTTTATTGAGTTGGAAACTATCTAATCTTATTATGCAGTTTCGACTTTTTTCCAACTTGGATTTGAATTATAGTTATGGAACTTGCAATTGAAAGGCTTCAAATTTGGAGTTTTTTTATTTTTTGTGTGGAGTTACTTATTTTCTGAATTGCTTGTCACTTACTGTTGATTTTTTGGTATGCAGAGACAACTTGTATCAGTCACCTGCTACGGAAATAGGACGTAATGGCGAGGATAAAACCTCAGGCTCTTCTTAATCAAAGCAAGAAGAAGAAGGGTCCGAGTCGAATAAGTATTTCGACAATTATCGTGTGTAATCTTGTAGTTGCTGTAGTCATACTATCGTTGGTCACAACTTATCGTCATTGGTCCCAAAGGTTTGTTTCCATCTTTGAATTTATTAATTTTCGTAGATTCTCCTTTACCATATATTGCTTATAGCTAGAAATTGCTATCTATAAACTTAACAGGATCTTTTTGGTTTATCTCTCAGGTCAAGAAACAAAATTGAACCTGAAACTCAGAGTCAGAGATTTGAGGTACTGTTTTGAGAGGTTTTTTCAATGCATATGCTTTGTGTTTCGATCCCGATGAACTTCTGAACAAGCACTTCGTATTAGAGTTTAGGATATCCACAAACGCGATCTGATTTTATCTTGTGTTTCAGGACACAAATGCTGCATCGGAGCAAAAGAGTTTCGATCTTCCTGGTTATGCTGTAAGTTAATCTTCCTTTACGGTATAGATTCTTGTTTTATCCTTGTACTTGTTTCTGTTCATCAGTATCTTAGTTCTATTTTCTTATCTCGTGTAGGATATAACCACATCAAAAGGACTTATAACTGTGGAACTCTTCAAAGAAGGTTCACCCGAAGCTGTGGACAAGTTTCTAGATCTATGGTTGGTATTAGAATTCTTTTTGTTCGCTTTTAAGCTAGAAAGAAAAAGAAAAGTATAGGAATTTGATTAAGCCAAGTCATTACTTGGTCTTTAGTAGGAGTGTTACTTCTACCATGATAGGATTCGAATAACTTCAGTTTCTTCGTTGATTGATTTTGACTATCAAGGCATATTGTACTCTTCTTGGAGATTTTGTTTGGAACAAAAAAACAAAAAGGCTGAATCACTCTGTTATTCAATTCTAGCTTAATAGATAGTAGAAGTAATACACTGAGTATTGTGCAGTCAAAAAGATCACTTCAAGGGAATGCCGTTTCATCGGGTTATAAAAAACTACTTGGTACAAGCTGGTCACTCGCAGAGCTCTATACCTGTAGATGAATGGACATCTAAAGGAAAGCTCCGTGGTCGCCTTCATACAAGGTATATTTGCTTGCTCTGCTTTTGTTTGAATTGTAAGTGTTCACCATCCATCTTTGGTTTAAGATCAAAACCTACCCGTGTTCAATATTCAGCCCGAAGCACGAGGCATTCATGTTGGGGACACCAAAAACCAAAGGGAACGACAAGGATTTTGAGCTTCTGATCACAACGGCGCCAATCCCGGATCTGAATGATCAGCTTATAGTGTTTGGAAGAGTCCTGAAGGGAGAGGATGTAGTACAGGTTTGATCCAACAAAACACACGCTCTTTCAGCTTCAATGGTCTGTGTTATTGTATGTCTTGTGTTAATGGCTAAATCATATAATTACAGGAGATTGAGGAAGTGGATACAGATGAGCATTACCAACCGAAATCGCCGATAGGGATCGTTAGTGTTATACTGAAACGAGAGATATGAAATGAAATTCTCTTCTTTGCTTCCTCTGTAAATGAGGCCCACGCCAAATCTTTCTTCATACTCACTGTTTGTATAAACCCTCTGTTGAGGTTTTCTTTAACTGATAATTTCTTCTTTTTTGTAATTTTATTTGATCATTCTCGAAGAAATAGCATCTTTGTTAACTATGTTTCTCCCTTAACGTGAAATTAGAAAATTCGGTAAATTAATTG